AGGAATGTCGAGGTCCAGCTTCTCCTTCCCTGGAACTGAAGCCGGAGGAAAAGCAGCAGTTGCCGACCAGACAAGTCTTTGAGATACTTCCGGGTCACGACGGTTTTCTTGGCATCTAGCGAGATGGTTCAGCTTTTATTCTGAAAGGAACCGTTGCAGCAGTTGGAACAGCAACAGATTTTATCAAGCTTGTCGTTGGTTCTTTTGGCTGAGGAGGAAAGTTACGGATTGGCCACTCCGACAACTTCTCTAGAACGCTTTAAACTGGTGTTAAGGATGACGTGGGCATAGTTTTATACTTCGGATGTGTTGGTTTATGGTCGAATGAAAAATGGACAGATTTACCAAACACCACCAAAACCACGCCTCCGTCAGATAAGGCAGATTCTGATTGGATCAGTAATGCGTCATGTCTTTTAGCGCTACGTGAGATCAGTCCAAGTGGAAACATTTAAAGTCACATTACTTATTATATTCTATAGGATTATAATAAAGTAATTAATATTTTGATTTCACAAATTGGTCACATCTTATTATTGACTAACACTTTGTTTGATTAGCTTTATTAAAAATAGAGTTCTTTGATGAATTAAAAGGAGAGAGTCCATTCTTCATTCTTCTGTTGAGCTGGAAAGAAGCAGTTATAACAAATGCTTGAGACCTTGAGGCCATATCTCATGCAGACTAGTCCTGTGTCAGAGGAGAGGGGGAAATGACTTTTGGTGGAAAACAGTCATTTCATACCGTTACAAAAGACAGCCGTAGATGTCGCCCCATGACTGAGCTCTCTTTATGGGTTGTGGCCAGACTTAATATTCACATATATAGATTGGCTTTCCTGGCTAAAAGTTTGTAATAGGTTCACCACTTTTGTGTAGTGTCATTTTGTATGAATAAATCAGGGCAGACATTTGTTAGTAAACCACATTTCATATTCCAGATTTGTGAAAAAAGGGGAATAGGCAGTGTTTGAGCCTTTCTGAGTCAATGACAACACCAAATGAGGATCATTTGGATTTTCCTGTTTTGTAGAAACACACACAACTCTGTTTGGTATGTTCAGGTGTGGCACGTGCTGAGTGTTTCAAACATTAGCCTCATTAGCCGGCCGATGATCAATCAGTGCATCCTCTAATTGGCAATTTGCTCCTTCTGAAGAACCTTGAAGCTTTCTTTTCTTCACTCCTGCGCTGCAAACCTGCAGTTTTCCTTTTATTTGTCCTAAAATGGATTGTTTTGCGATTTTCTACAACTGGTATGTAACTGTAAAACCATTCAAACCAGTTAACCAGACAGGCTGATTTATATCCAATAAATGCAGAATTTTAGGTCCTAAAGTTACAGAACCCCTTTTCTGTAAGTTTAATGGAGTGCATATTTCAATAGCTGACAGTTTCACATGCAACCACAGAGAACGTTCCCCTTCATGTTGCCATAGAAACAGCGCTCTTTCTCTTTTTTCTTCCCCATTCGATGACAGTGTTCCCTTTTCTCCTTTATCGTTCCTTTAGCTTCTCTTTCTCACCACATGCTTTGGCGGCATGCATGGCTCCTGGCCACACATTTGCTCCGAGCAGACGTGACGTGTGAATTTGTATGTTCTGCATGTAACCGTGCACTGAATGGAGGGCTATTCAGCAGCAGACAACATGATGACCACATCAGCAGCCAATCAGATTATCAGTAAGAGCTGGTGGGCCTCAACCAATGACAGGAACTCATTGATGATATGTGAGGAGACGGGGATGCAGCACCATGGAAACTGCGGAGGGTGCACTCAGAGATCGGCGCCATCTAGTGGGACCAACGTGTCCTTGGTCATTTCAGGCAATCTGAGAGCATCCTTGACGCTGGAGAGGAATTCAGTGGGTGCATCAAGACTTGTCTCACATCAAAATGACTGAAATCTTCAAAGAGTTTGTATACTGTATGTTTTTTTTGGGTGGTGGAAATTTTCATTTTCCCAACTAATAATGCCCAAAAGATTTAGAGCTGTGAAAGGATGCAGGATGTCTATAGCAGCCAGAGGATGTACGGCTCTCGTGGCTTTTAAAGTGTGTGTCGTGTGTGTGTAGAGAAGAAAGCAAGTCTTTCCACTGGTTTAATGTTGATGTGCAGTGCTGTGAAAAAAGTAATTGCCCCCTAAACTTAATATACAACACCCTTGAGCACAACAAATGCAATCAAGTGTTTGTGAGAAGTGGTAATGAGTCTCTCGCGTTGCCGTGGAGGAAATTTGTCCTGCTCGTCTTTGCAAAAATGTTTTCATTCAGCCACATTAGAGGGGTTTCTACCATGAATCAGTCTGAGGTCAAAGGTCAGGCATATTCCTTCTTCATTCATGGCTTCATCCATTACAGCAAGTCACCCCAGACCGTGGCACTGCCACCGCCATGTACGACTCTTGCAAGACGTTCTTTTTCTAAAATGCAAAGTTAGTTTTAATCAAGCTGTCACAGGACTCTAGAATGACAAGTCGTCTTATATATGTGAAGATGTTATTTATTTATTCTTTATTTAACAAGGTCCCATTGAGATTAAAAACCTCATTTTCTAGGGAGTCCTGGATACATAGGCTGCCTACGGTGGCTCTGAGTTATTGGGTAGGATCTATGGTTGTCTTTCAAACTGTCTCCGCACGTTGGACCATGAACAACGTAACGTAGTCACCACTATGGATGTCAGTCCACCATACGCAAATACGTCCTTTTTCTAAATAAACCGAAGTACCTCTATCTGCTCTTGACTCAAAGAAAAGCCCATGTCTAAATCATCCAAAGTTGATGCTAAAGCCGTTTTAAACGAGCTGCCTCCATCTTAATTTTGCTCGGTCGCATCATCCTGCCCACCAAACCGACAGAGCACTGTGATTGGACTGCTATAGACGTCAGTCAACAGGGCAGTCCGCCATACATACATTTAGCAGAGCTAAATCATTTTGATTCTGCTACTGTCCATCTAGATTTCAAAGATAACCGGACTCAACAACTTTCCAGAAACTTTCAATTCTGTCTCAGGGTTCGTTTCTTTCTGATGCTGAGTCGAGAAACCTGCAGCGCTGGATGTTCTGTGTTCCTTTGTTCTTGATTTTCTTTTTTGGAACAGCACATGCTATACTGCTTTTTGAGATCACTTAGCCTGTTGCATTTTTCCATGTATAGTAACTAATCACAGCTATTTCATGATTTTAAGAAGTTGGAAGCAGACTTTTTCCACATACAGCCAGGTTGCTTTGAATACATTTTCCACCTCAATAAATTACAATTTTAAAGAAAAATACTTTGATGTTGAAGTTTGACAAAAATATAAAAATATATATCTGTAAGTGAGACATGAAATAATTAATGGTGCTGTGAAAGGATGGGACTAAGGTCATAGCCTTGTGGAACACCTTCGGTGATGATGACCGGTGGAAACAGAATTCTCAGTCCGAGCTTAGGTTTTTTTCTTAAGCACTTCTTTACAACACACCATGGAAGGATAATAACGCATCCAGTGTCTGGTTTGAGATGTGTCCTCTTCTATTGTGCGACCAGTTACACTAAAGATCCTACTCATCCCTAACCCTAAACCTTACCTTCATCTCTATCGACAGGGTTAGTCACACTATGTGCTAAAATGTAGTTCGATGATAGCATTCTCACATAATTCCCATCCTCCCAGTGAAATATTAGATACGGTGTTGTAGTGGCTCCAGATTGTTAATTGTAATGGACTAATATGACTATGTTTTGTCATAAAACGTTGAGATTTTCCTTCATAGTTTCACACTTTCTTGGTTAAATCTAAATGTCACATGCATGCAGATCCTAGCCCGGCCTCCAGAGGGCGTTTTCAATCAAACTCCACTCTGTCCGCCCACACCTGAGGAAATCCCACCTGTATCTCAGTTAGAAAACCTTTTGCATTAAAATCAGCCATAAACTCCACAGGGCTTAATGCTTTTTTCTTTATTTTTTATGACCATCAAACCAGAAAATGCTTCAGATTTGTTAGAAACAGAAGAAAGAAAATCCACTGAATATAGAAATTGTAACGACACATGTATCGAGCCTATTATTCCTAATTATCAAAATTCTAAATGCATTTATGACTGTTGTAAGGGATACACTGCAGAAGTTACCGATGTCATTCGTGCTCGTGCCTGTGTAACGTGTTTTCATTCACAGCAGGTAATCGGTGTGTAATAAATGAGTTATTAATGACATAAAACATTATTCAAAGCGGAATAAAATGATGGATCTGAGCGGGGAAAGGCTGACGTAAGGTGAGACTTGTCTGCTCGACGCCTGCGCAGGGATCCAGTGGATAGATCCTTTAAAAGAGATTAGTAAGAAACTGCGCCTGAATCCTACCCTCGTCCCACGCCATCTTGGCTCGAGCGTCGCTCCGATTCCAACCCGTGCTTGCGCTCCGTTCGGCGGCCATTTTGGATCTGCTCGGATCCAGTTTCCTGGACGGCGGAGGGAGGAGCCAGGCATTTCTGGAAGTCGGAGAAAACAGGCAGCAGCCAGCAGCATCTGAGCCAGCGTAAGAACTGGAGCAACGGTGGACGAAAGGGTGTGCTGGCTTTACCGAATGACGATATAATTCCATCCTCTTCAAGCACAGAGTGGTATACGCGAGGGCAGAGCGGCCGTGGACATGAAGGTGGAGGTTTTTGATCTGGGCTCGGGAAGCTGAAGCACATACCGCAGCCCCGGACACATTTCGGTTGGGAATAAGCCATCTGTGATACTGGGTGTGCACGTCGCAGTGGCGGTGCTAGACGACCGGTGATCCCGTCGACAGCTAGCTTATTTTTTATTTAAGCTCACCGCCTTTAGCTCGGCCAGCTAGCCTAATCCCGGGCGAAGAGCGCGTCTCGGTCGGGCACTGTAAGCGGATGCTACCGTGGGAGATCCGAACCAGGCAAATTCAACCCGAGGCATGTAAAGAGAGGGGTGTTTCTTCGCCAACGAGCTAATGTGGCTAGCCGGCTAATTCGCTGTCCTCAGTGGCTGCAGTTTCACTCTTTACTGACATTCTCGTGGAGGTTTGAATCGCACAGAGCTCGTGTCGTCGGTCTCAATTAAAGAAGAATAACCAAAACAAATAAAACCCCACACGGTGTCGGTGATTACTTGAAACCCCGAGTGGGAGGGATTTCTTCTGGAGAGCATCCTCGTTTACCTGGATGACCATGGCGGACGACGACGTGCTGTTCGAGGATGTCTACGAGTTGTGCGAGGTGATCGGCAAGTAAGTATGCACAACTGGACTCCACATCCCCACATTTAGCTTCAATCAGCGTAATTTGGTCATGTGCAGGCAGGTTTATGGAGGGGGAAAGTCCAGTGAGTGGGTGAGACGGGTTAGTGTGTGCCATCTTGATGTCCACGGGGGCTTCAAGGCCCAGAGAGGTCCAGGAAAGGAAGTCTGGAGGCACAGCTGGATCAGCAGTCCAGTTCTTTGTCCATTAGACCTGAGAAATGTGGCTGTCATCTTCTGTAGTCTGCTGCGACTTATTTCTTAGGTTAGATTCAATCAGAAATCAAAGGTAAATAATAAAGAAGGGTTGTGTGACAGACTATGTACAAGAGATGTTAAATTCATGCTTTTTATGACATTTGGAGTTTAAAATGTTTGATATTTGCATCAGATTTTCCACAATTTGCAATTAAAGGTGCAGTGATTTGAAGCTTTTCCCCCCCAACATTTTGACAATCCTTTCTCGTGAAGCTTGTAAAAAATCCAGTGATCAGGTCCCCCCCAAGGATTCTTCATATTGTTGGGTGATCAGTTTTGAAAAAAGATTGTCGACTGCACGCCTCACAAATTTAACCAAAATAAAAAAAAATGCACTGAATTCAAAATTATATACCAGCTTTTGGCACTGATCAGGTGGCATATAATACTACAATTACTCGACATTATCGTCCAATACTGACATAAAAATGCTGTTCTCATTCAAAATGTCAAAATATGACAAATGGCCTAGCTTGAATTGAAGTAGTTGTGATATTTTGCACAGATGTTTAAAAAGTTTGGTCATGCACCAATAAGGATCTAAAGTGATTGGACCCCTACAAGTGTATATTGGCACTGGAAATTATGAGTTAGACTAAACTGGTTGATCGGATAATGGTAACAAGTGAAAACTTTAGAAGCCTTTTGGTCTAAACTATCTTATACCAGAGAATCAGAGGCTCTCAGAAGAATAAATAAAAGGAAATGTAAAGTAAATTACACAATGAAGTCAAAATTGCTGTGATTTTTGTGGCTAAAAACTAAAACTAGATTCTAACCAGCACTGGTTAAGACCTACATACACAATACCTTGTGCACATGGATTCTTGCAACCGAACTAAATTGGGTTTTATTCAAAATAACTTTATTTTAGTGCATGACTTGTACATATATTACATTTATTATTAGTAGTATTATTTTACTTGCCATATGTTTAGGCTGCAGCTTTACTTTTACTATTGAAGAAGAGTCATACGTTGTTTTGAGGCGTTTGTTATATGTTGGAGACTCTTTGTGAAAAATTGAAGGAAGTGGAGTTACTTCTGTGGATTCAAGACTTTCTTTTTGTATTCCCTCTTTTAGAGTAGCCTACCTTTACCGTTTTTGAACATCTCGACCTTAATCTTGAAATATTTATTCCTTATCTTTATCTGCTGAGGGGCACTTGTTAGGTTTAACACAGAGACATGAACATTGCTGCACAGTAAAATGCTCCTTTTTTAGGGAGTCCTGGGTGGGATGTAACAGTTAAACACAGTTAGTGTGACTGAAAGACTGTAGTAGGGTAGCTTTTCCTGTTGATGCTACCCAAAGCACTTCTGGGGTATTTCTAGTAACCAATAAAAAGCACATAAAGTGGAGTCAACCCCAGGAGCCAGGTAGCAATCTGAAACCAGTAAACACAATATGGCGGCCACGCCCTCTGGTATTTGAACCAAGTACCGGGATGAACAGCAGTTTGTCTCTCATTGACTCAGACACGGTTCTGGCCTTGTTAAAGGTGTGGTTCACTAAAAAACATTAATTATTATTTCTGATTATAATCAGTCACTGAGATTTTCATGCAGGCTGAACATGAAAATAGTCTCCTACACCTATGTCCTGCATTAGCTTCTGATCGAAAATAGACGGTGAAACTCTAGGATTAGAAAGCCCTGACATCTACGTCACACTGTCACTTATCGTTCACGGACTCCCCCATCTCGACTCACGACGGAGAAGGCTGTTGTTGGTTTAGCGTCCAGGAAACAGCAGAGAACGTCTCTGCTAGTAGAAGCTAACCTTTAGCATTAGCAACTCCACCACACGCCAGAACTCCTTCATACTTGTGTTCTTTGTGGAGGCAACACATCAGCATAGCAGAAGAAATGGAGTGAGTGGTAGAATCACATTGCTGTTAGCCAGTCAGAGGCAAGGAATCCAGAATAAGGAAGTAAGAGTCCAATCCTGTCATCTGAAGCTCTGCTCTGATGTGGCATTTTCTAGTTTCTCAAACAGACGCACCAGATCTTTTTTCCCCAGAGTACGACTTCCAAGGCATTCGATCCTACTAGAGACCACTGCAAATGTTTTGATTAAACGAATGATCCACACCTTTAATAAGTAAGTTTATTTGTCACTGAACAAAGAGTGAAACAAAGTCATAAGCAGCAACACTGTTGGGTTATGCTAAAAAATAAAAAACAATAATAGAAGGAAATATAAACACATATTCCAAAAACGTTAAGAACTTCGAGTCCGTTGGCCTCTCTGGTGCCGATGCTGCTCCCCCAGGAAACTACAGCACAGAAAAAAGCACCTGCCACTCCATTTACAGCACACAGTACAGGACCTGAGAATCTGTGTTCATCTGCCAGTCCAACCTGTGGTTTAGCGATAAAGTTCATGATGCCTCATTTAATCTACAGCCATAAGTTGCATCTTGGACAGGCAAAGATCTTAGTAAAAACTTTTTACCTGACCGTTTTGGCTTCCTGCACCGCGTCGAGACCATCATATTTGTCATCGCTGAACACCACAGAAGGAATATTGCACACAGTAGAAAACGAAAGCAACCGACACAAAAGATGGATTAAGGAGGCAATCACAACAGAAAACTAGAGGAATCAACCCTCAAAAGGGATGAGGGGACATACGCGCTGCCAAGAACTCTTCTTCCCGTTCAACAAGGACGTTAGGATTAGCTCTGGCTAAAGTCGTTCTATGGTTAGCATAACTGGCACCAATGTTTATATACTGCTGAGGTATGCTGGGACATGCTAATTTAGGGTGTGTCCTAGCTTATGACGTGTTAAACCAGCAGTTCTCAGATTGAACCATTTCTCTGTGGCCATCACAACACTACTATGTAACATAGGAAAGCGGGTTGGAAAGGGCACCGACCTTTTTGGTATATTTTACACCCCAAGCTGCCATTGTTTCATAACAAGGTAGACATGGTTTTGAATTCTTGGACTGCTTTAAGGAAAACAAATTTAATGTTGCAGCAGTGTCCTTATCCTTAAGTATTTATCTTATTTTCCTACAATAGTTGCACATTTTAAAAGATGCAGCATACGATGTGTTTTATTGGTGAACAAGCCCGTTGTGTTGATGCGGACACAGACTCGAGCAATAATTGACGTTTGATACCTGGTCACTGTTCTGTCAAATCCAGCTTTCGTCATGTGGTTCTTCCGACACTGAATTGTGTGTGTGTGTGTGTGTGTGTGTGTGTGTGTGTGTGTGGGGGGGGGGGGGGGGGGGGGGGGGGTCATCAAAGAGTTTCTTGCCTCACTAGAAACAAACAACCAAGAAACTTGGGACAAGTCAGTGAATGGCAAATGGTTTTAGCAAAAGACACGTCTTGAGTGTTAGGATTCATCTGCTCGATCCTGGTAGAGGCACACAAATGATTAATTATATAATTTTGACACAAAAGTATGAAAAACGTCATGGTAGATGTGCTATTTACTTAGTTGTGCTTGGTAAGACTCGGCTCTTTTCGTAAGTAAGGTGGGAAAGCCAAGCCGCCTACCCTCTCCTTCGCTACAAACTTTAGAAACTGTAGATTTGAGGGTCCATTTAGTTTGGTAAAGGGAAAACACACACACACACACACACACACACACACACACACACACACACACACACACACACACACACACACACACACACACACACACACACACACACACACACACACACACACACACACACACCATCCTTCATGCGCCCTTTCTACCCTGAAAGTTTTGTTGCCTTGGTTACTAATTGACGTTGAGTCCAGGCCCTCTAATTTGGAGTCTGTGCAACAGAAACGAGGGTTAATGTGCAAACATTGTAAACCAAACATCTGAAGTCGTTAAAGCGAAAAAACAAATTATCGAGGATCATAAAAGCAGGAAGATGGGAAATAATTTTAATTTACTTCATAAAAAAAGGCTTGAGTCTAACATTTGTTTAATAAATGGATAAAAACGTGTGTTCAGGAGTTTTAATTTACCCATAAGCTCTGGGTGTTCAGTAAGAAATGACCGTAGTTCTTGAGGTAAACGTGTCCAGATTATCTGTACACCCAGGGCAATTTAATCTGTGCTTGTACAGTAATCCCTGCAGCCATTAGTGTAGACTGAATGTTGTGAAGGTGGTCGCACAGTCCAGCAAATTCAGCGCTGGAGGAGAAAACGAGCAGTCGTCTGAGGGGTATTTTAAGCTTCAGTTACAGCACCCAAACGTCAAATTTCTGTCAAAGAAAAGACCGGAAGATCCCTCTTATCCAGCCGGTTCTTTAGCGAGACAGCACTCATGGATCAAGTGTGTTTTGTCCGCGGTGTCTTGGGATGTGTTGCGGGAAGAAGGAGGGGATCACTTTTCCTCGGCAGAGGAGGTGGGAGGGGAAGGGAGGCGGAGGCAGATCAATGGAGACGAGTGGAGCTGGGAATGTGATGGCCCCGAGGCTAAGGATATAAATAATGCTGGGAGACACTAACTGCAGCATTCCGCCTTGTTTTTAATCTGGTTTCTTTTTATTGTCAACACGAATATAGGTGGACAGCATGACAGGCAGGGGATGCCTGTAATAAAACATTTGATATTTAATCAAACCTGGATTAAAGAAAGCAAATTGGGAAACATGTTTTAGAAGGATTACCCTCTGATTTTATCCTTGGTGAGTTTTGCAGAGTGAAGAAATTCCATCAAATCCATCCTGAGTTATTTCACGTTTGTCTAGCGGACACATTTTCTGGCCC